TCTGCAAGCAACTGGGTTTAGTCATATGCAGGTGGTAAGTATTGTGATACACCTTTACCAAAGAAACAGTTCAAGTTATCACCATGTATACACCTGCGCCATCTCACTGAAGTCTCTTATACTAGTATAAGTCCATACAATTGCCATGACTGAGCTTTCTCCTGATAACAGCCGTTAATCCACACGCCAGGAGAAATGGAGAAAAAAAAATGCCTAAATCTGCCAACAGTCGGTTTACTGGCTGTTATTTGCCAAAGTGTGCCTTGGGTGGGGTATAGGAAAATACATCCATACTCAGTGTGTAAGTGCCTCCAGGACACTCTCCCAAGCCCAGCAGAACATTCTTCCATAGCTCTAATTTTTTCTTTTCCAAAAATGCCTGTGAGCCCCACAGTTTATGAAGCAATTCTGTTCCAAGTAGATTTAAGGGAGATTTCTGGGGACCACTCTTAACGCTCCAGGATCTCCAGCTCCATAGCTGTGTTCAACCTGTTCTGCTCACTGCTCAGTCCCAATTACAATGACAGCATTTAATTTCCTCTTTGATTTCCCTTCAACAACAGATTGCAACTTGTGACACTTCAAGTAATTTTGGTAGCTCATTTAACACACACTGAAACCTGAATATCTGCTGATTATGTTCCCAAGCTCTGGCTCATTGCAATAAAGGATGGAGAAAGGAGATGCAGTCTCTAGAGACTGAGAACCTGAACATGATTATTGCTGGCTGAAAACTTGTTTTGTCTCAGTAGTCTTGGGGTAGAGCTAGAATTCATTCATGAATGATTAATGAACTAAAATCAGGTCAATGAAACTCTGTCCTGAATCTATCTATAACCAATTCAGATGGGGCATGAGGAAGACTAACCAGCTGATATCTTGTAATTTACAACTCTTGATGTAGTGAAATTGAGTAATTCATCTCATTTACTATGGCTAGCTTCCCAAGGAGCTGAGTCACCTAAGTGATTTTTTTCTACTTCTCTATTTCCTACTCAGCACTGAAGTTACTATGTGATGGGATGGCCTCCAATACCCTTATTCATATTGAGGAGAACATTAATCCATGAGTAACCCCATTAATTCCAAGAATTAAAAATTCATCATTATACTCATTACTAGTGGACACACTTGACTGCAGCTCAATCACTTATCAACAAAATATTAAGCACTTCAAAGCACCTTTTTTTAGTGATAAGTCCTGAAGATCTTTAAATTCTATCAGCAACATCAAACTGCAAACTTATTTCTCTGCTCTGATTTCTAAAACCAGCAGTCTTCTTTCCTGATGGATGAGTTGTCCTCACTGAAGTTGTTAAGAATGTAGAATAAAAAGCAAAATAAATAGCACAATCAAAAGTAAGCTATTAAAAAAGAGTAGTGCAGGCAATATAATATGATATACTAAGTACCACCTTTTTGCTTACGTCATTACATAGATAATACCAGCATATTAGAAGCATAATAAATCACAGAAAGCTGTTTCCATAGTGCAGGGTTTCTCCCTGGAGAGGTCATGACCCCTCCTTTGGTGATTTGTGAAAGGGTTTGAGAGGGGTCACAAAGAACCTGTTAGCAGCAATCAAGGGCAAATATTGGCCCTTAAGTTGAGCAGCCCAGTCCTCTAGCAGAGCAGTGAGAGAATAGACTGTAATTAGTGGTTGCAAGTATTTATACTTGCTAGGGAACTGGTAACTACTTTTAATTACAACAGCTCACTTTCTCCAGGAGAGGGGAGCAATATAGGCTAGAATTAAAATTGCCACATAGTCGCTAACTGCCTTTCATTGCAGGCAATAGATCTGTTTCTCCAGGGAGGAAGAGTAAACATAACCACTTACAACTGGATCTCATTCTCCCATCATTTAGAAATGGGGTTGTTAGCAGCTCAGGCAGTCACACACATATACAACCAAATATGGTTATATTTTCAAACAGTATGAGAAAGACATCAATAGTTTCGTATATAGAATGTGCTACCATCAAGCAAAGTGTGTGTTGCCCCATGCGGTCTGCAGTGCCTCCTGGTGAAGAAGAACATTTATTAAAGGACTTCAGAAGATAAGTTAATTGAAAAATAGAATGATCTCATTGAAAAGTACTTGTACATTTCTCTCTGCTGCCCTGCCTGTCATGTGGATGCATTGTCTTGCCCAGAATGGCTCACCTTTTCAAAGCTGTCAACAGCGGGATGTACCAAGATTGAAACTAAAGACTGGTACCTAAGGCTGCAGTCCAGTACCACACGAACTGGCACAGTTTAGCGGTCTAAATAGATTAAGACAAGAGAGCCATCCTGTCTTCTCACCTCATTTCCCTCCTGAGGCCAGCTTTCATCTTGACTGAAAGAGAAAGTATCCAGAGCTTCTCCATCTCTCACATTTAGGGATTTTAGGGAAACAAAATAGCACCCTACATCCCATTGTGGGAGCTTTTTGGCATCACTGAAGTCCACATTCTCTTTCTTCAGGTCTCTATGAGGTCCATGAGGACTGTGGCTACAGAGCAGCCCGTCTCCTTCTGTGCCTTCTGGCTACCCCGGCAACCACATACCTTGCCCCAGGAGGTCTCCACACCTCCCCAGAAAGGAGTGAGAAAGGTGTCAAGTGCAAGTGAACTCCTTGGCGGACATGCCTTTTTCAGATCGGCAAGGCTCTCTGCTGCACACTGCCCCCACCATCCCGTGGTGGGGACATCTGGTGTGTCCACCATTGCAGCCCTCCGCTGTGAGAGCCAGCACATGAGGAAACAGCTTGGAAAAGGGATCCAGATTATAAATAACATGGCCAAAATATATTAAAAAAGAAGAAGAAGAAGAAGAAGAAGAAGAAGAAGAAGAAGAAGAAGAAGAAGATATTATCTTTCAGCTGGATCAATTTTCTAACCCAGTTTCATTGCACAACCACCTGAGCACCTGAGGTGGACTGAGCCAAGAACAGGAAATGTTAAAGGTGACTTAAACTGCACTGCCACATAGTGGCTGCCTGTGAGTGTAAGACTTGTGCTAGCTGCCAATAGGAGAGAAGAAGGAGAGGCGACTTGATTAGTGTATACATTGTCTGGTCATTGAAAAGGGCGCTGATAGCGAGGCAAACTTTGCAGGAAAAGGCATAACATGGTGCAGAGGTCAGCATTGGAAGCTGGACGACTTCAAACTCAAAAGGGACATAGCTTCCTCCTAGTGAGGGCAGTCAGGTGTGAGAGGGGAGGGACTCACATTGACTTGGGTTATTTAGGAACAGATTAAGTCATAAGACACTCTTAAATCTAAGGTTTGGATCTCATTTGCTTTTGTGCACAAGAAGTGAGATGAAATCATCATGAGTCCTCCTTAGAGGCAAGAGAGGCAAGATGCCAACCTAGAGGAATGGAAAGTGTCTGTTCTCCTTAAGGAGTGTCCTGTGTCATGTGGACTGGATGACACGCAGAGTTGTATCCAGAGAGCATGCAGATAGGATGATTCACTGGAGACAGTAAAAAATACTAGAATCCCCATATTATTTTTGTTGCACTAAAAAGCACGTGTTCATGCCATGGGCGGTCTCACTGAGCTGGAGGGACCTGTCCAATCCATCCTGTGGATTTTCTGTGCAGTGCAGAAAGTCAACACTAAGGACCAAGCCCTCCTGCCAGCCGTGTGCTGAGGGTGAGGCATAGCCCACATCTCCTGACAATTTGCTGTATGAGACACGGCAAACAACTCCCTGAGGATCCCAGGAGGCACAAATAATTCCAAGATGTTCCTTCAACAGAAATCCTGCTTCCAAACCCCGACTGATACCCTCCCCAAAGGATTTCTGCACTCCTGTCAGATCTGGGCGGACCCACCCAGGGGATCTTTTTATACCTTTCTGAGAAGTGCTCTTCACTGCAGCCACAAGCCAGGTTTTATCAAGCTTTTTCCTTGCAACCTGCCAGTAGTGTTTTGATTAGCCAGAAAGATTACTTGCATGCTCTCCAGCGCTGACCAGGATAGCTACAAGCCACATGACTTGTATGTGGATACAGATGTGGACAGGCCCCTCTGCAGCCTGAGAAACCAAAGAGAACGGTCTGAAACACATCCACCTGGCAACTGCAAAGAGAAAATTCACTTTTCATTCTCTGCCCCTTGCCCTCCGCCCTGCTTACTTTTGTGTCCCTTCTGAGGCAGGGGAGGCACGCTCTGGGCAGGTACAAGTAGAATTGAGGCTTTAAAGTAGATTTTCAACACATTATGGTTTTCATCTTTGCTTAGCAGCTAGTTACTGTGCCGAAGCCATGAATCACACCGCTTGAAATGATTCAAGGAGGGAAAGAATAATAATAATAAAGTGGCAAACTAGCTCAGGGATAGGCTTGGGAGTCCTATTAAACTTGAGAGGCTATGATTTCTATTCCCAGAACTGCTGGTTAACACAAGAACAAGCACCATGCTTCCCCACCCCAGCCAAAGAGTTGCACTAGGCAAAAACTGAGGAGCAAACGAGCAACAGGTCAATCCTGTCCTGTGCAGTCAAAAGCTGCCAGCAGATTAACATGGCAGCGCTTATGAAAAGTCTGCAGTAGCTCTGGCAGGCTTTGCTAAATTTATAATTGTAGCTACAGGCTTCATCGCAAACGGAACCAAATATGTGATGTTTGTTTCTGTGGAAGAATGGGAGGAGACTAATGGTAAAGGAGAGGGAGTGGGAGTGCGGAAGCGGGGTGAGGGGAAGGAAGAGAGCTGAGCCCTGCAGAGTTTTTCAGAGACCTGCAGAAAATCATCTAAATAGAGTAGTTCAGACCTCAAATATTGTGCAGTGCTTTGACAATCTTCTGGTTTATGGCATACTTAACAAAGTGTTTTTACATTTACTAGGCTGGAATGTCCATTTTACTGTAGACTCTCTGCTATTTTGCTAGTAGTTTAAAATTTGGACACGTGACAAAAATGTGTGTAACGCATTTTTTAAAGTGTTGATTGTGCTCGTAATTTTAAAGTCAGAATATAAAATAAACATCTCTGCCCTTTCTTCCAGCAGGCAGCACAGAGATCTGCTCTCCGCGTTCTATCTGACAGGTACATTTTGTCATTTTTATGAACTATAAATTGCTTTATGAAACGTTGAGCCCTATTTATTGTGGCATATAACTCATAATCGGATTTTGTCCCCAAAGTATCTGTGAACTGGGATGTTAAACATTTTGCATGCTTGGATTTGTCATGCATGTGTAGAGTTTATTACTGCAAAAATCACAGTCGTCTTGTATTTCACACAGAGTATGCAGAATCCCTTGTTGTGATACCAAACGAGAGATAAGAAACTTACTGGAAAAGGCATGAATGATGCAGTAAATTCTGAGCTTTAGAGTTTGCTGAGATATATCTAAGCTCATTTTTCAGCAATAAGTACTTCATTTATTTTGAGATGTTCGCTTTTGACTTTTTGCAAATTCTTTCCCTGGGAATTACTCTTCTTTTGATGAGATTCTCTATACATTTTATGCACAGAAACAATGCTTTTTTTTACCCCTTAAGTTTTGAGAGCTTGATACTTTGAGGAATTTAATTCATTGTTTACTTCGTCTGGAACAGCAGCAGCGCTTCAGGCAGATAAGCAAGGGACCAAATCCTTAGACGGTATTCAGGCTTTACTCAGCTCTTTTTCAGGCAAAATTCCATTAACTTCAATGGGAAACTTGCCTGAGTGAGGAATTCAGGATTTGGGCCATAGTAAATGTTATAGTTGGGCCATAGGTCTACACAGGTATTTACCTTAAATGACTTTCATAAAAGAGGATTGATTGAAATATAAGGTAGCTTTCTAAGACAGTCCTGATTTCTTTTCCAGTTTTGGGGGTGGGGGGAGGGAAGGAGGAGGAGAGACTGTACATTTTAGTGCCTGTGAAAAAGAACGAGTAGATTTACATTTATCCACAAATGAGGTACTGTGTCATGCCGGCTGACACAGAGTAAATTTCCCCATGCCTAGTTGGCAGCCCCCTCTGCTCCGTCTGGCCCCCCGCCCCCCGCCTCCCTGGGAATAAGCAGTAATTGACTCTCGAAGGCAGCTCAGGCCAGGATTTCTCCAGAGCAGAGCCTGTCACTTAGGCTGAATTATATGTTGTGCATGGATGAATAACATTTCTCTCTGGTCTGAGGCTAAGACCGCCAAAATTATCGTCCTCCTCCCCTCCCCCCCCCGCAACAGTTTACAAGCACCATTTTGTTTAGATTTTTTTTTTTCTCTCCCTTAAGGAAAAAAATTTCCTGAGTGAAATGTGTGGGATATGGGTGAAGTCACTGGCTCAGTTGCAGGGCGCACGAGTATTCACTGTAATTGGGCCGACTGCAAAGAGAAAGAAGACTGAGAGTAGCATTATGCCCCTCTGCCCGGATGTGTGCACACTCTCCCAAGCAGCTTTTGCATTTGGTGGGAACAATACTGTGACCGGAGAATATGATTTTTCTCAGCATCAGTCCTCAGGGCTAAATGAGGAGCATTCCTGAAGAGCTGCCCCTGCGAGTAATTAATGAACCTAAAACCCTGCATGGCACTTTCCGTCTCTCCTAGAAAGAGAAGTAGCAGGGCTGGAAAGATGGGTCCTCCCTCAGCAGGCTGTGGCAAGGGAACTGGGAGCAGGCTGCCCCCAACCCTCGGAGCGCCCAGAACGCACAGAATTGCCCTTCACACCATGGGTTTATTATTTATGACCAGGCTTCCTCTGCTTCCCCCTCTGTTCCCCTGAAAGCACCTCTAGAGGCTACAGACTTCCCACCTGCTCTGCAAACATTTGCGAGTTGGGCCACCTTCCTCCCATCTTTCTGGACGAGCCGCTGAAAACCCCCTGCAAACGCACCCTGTGGGAGATGCCTCCTTGCCTTCCAAAGCGCAACTACGTTGAGCAAGCACGAGGGCAAGGGGCCAGTAACTGACACTTTTAGCAGCAGTTTCTGTCTAAGCTTGCCTGAAGCGTGGGCGCATGCGATATTGCCACTCATTGCTTGTGTCCCAGTGGCAACTAAGAACTGCTGGTCATGCACCAGACACTTCCCAGCGCCCCGGGACTGGACGGTCCCTTTTTCCATGAGATGACGGTTTAAATAAACCTCTCAGTTATTTCATCTACTGATTTTTTGGAAAAATATTTTCCAGCTGTTCCTGTTCCAGTATTCGCTTTGAGATTCTCTTAAAAAAGATAATAGTTTAGCTAAACAGAAAATGGAAAAAAAAAGGAGAGTTTTTAGACCTGTAGCCATTGCAATACACTACAGTGTATTGCACTCAGTCTTGTTTTCAGAATGGCACAGTAACGCCCAGCAGATTTATGTGCAAACACGAAGATTAGTGACCCAGAAGCTTGACTGAAACAGCTTTTCTCCTTCCAGAAGACCGGTTGCTCTGCACATGCCCTGACTATTTTGCAGGAGGTTCTGTCAGGAAAGATGCACTGGCCCCTTTAGCTTTTCATTCTGTCATGAAAAACCCTCAGTGTTTATACTGCACAGCTTGGCTTTAATTTTATTATGCTCTTCAGTAAAGTGGTTCAACTGTATAGAGTGTTCAGTTTTTGGGAGAGTGAAGAACACAAACTTAAGTCGTACACCTTAATGGTATAGCGCTCTAGCATATCTTTGACCATTTGATTCTTCTATTCACTGCCTGAATAGCTTTCAGATTAAGAAAAATGCCTGTTACTAAAATATTCAGTGTATTCTGTTATTATTTAACAGTAAGCAGTGTGGTTAAGCCAGCTCTTAAACCTGCTCAATCCCACTGAGCTGAATAGATTTTACTGTTGTCTCCAGTGGTCCCAGAACTCTCACCTTAATGCTGAATGGCTTTTAAGCCAATTTTTTTGCAGTCTGTTCCACTAACTCAGAAGCACTTGCTTTGTGGATGCTTTTGCAATGGCAAATGTCCAGCTGTAAATTACAGATGTTTGCAATCATACCCAAACACAACACTCATTATCCTTTTGTTCTTTTTAGGCTGAAAAGCCCACCGTAAAGGAGACCTCACAGTACTTAATCCACACATTAAACTTACTTGCAGCTCATATTCGTGTGCAAGATAAGATTTTCCACGAAGTAAAGATTTACTGTGTCCTAGGGCACTTTTATTCCCCTGGCTGCTTTAATTTCTCTGTGCTATAGTGTAGGCCAAGTGGGGCTGAGTAAGGATTTTGAATGCTTACGGAAAGCATTACGCTGCTGGTGAATTTCCTCTTTCATTGTTAACAGGGAAAAGATAGCTTATTCACTGTGGTGCTTGGGTGGTACTTATGAGGCACGCTTAATTCACTGTTCTGATCTATTATCCTCTTTGTGTACTCATATTGGAGGATGCAGACAGACCTTATTAGCTCTGCGTGTACTAACCTCAGCGCAGGAGCGCAGGACAGAGAGAGAGAGAGTACTAAACTGGCAGGGAGTGAGCCCGTTCAGCCTAGTAGCCATATGGCCGTGCTGGCAAGCCTTCCCATCTCAGCTGATAAGTCCTGTAAAGAGTCCAGCTGATTAGCTTACGCTCAGCACCTGGTTAATATAAGTATGTTTCATCCAGCCCTGAACTGTTAAGCACAGGCTTTGATAAAGTTATTTGATTTACCACCTTAGGCTGTTGATAGACAAGGCGTCTCAACACTAATCTCCGTTTTGCAGTGTAGACAAGCCCCATGTGTGATGGCTGGTGAGTTACACAGCCTGTCTGAGCTCCTGTGAAATAGAAGGAATAGTACTTTGTATTTCCATGTCGCTGTGCCTTGTTCATCCGTATTTGATCATGGTTAGGACATCAAAATGGAAGGTTGCCAAGCATGAGCTGGTTTACCCTAATGGGTGGTTGAGCTCAGGCCAGCTGAACTCAAGACCCTGAGAAGGGACAAATAAATTCAGCAACAGGTGTTCGGTACTGGGAGTTGTGCGGGAGGTTGTGAGACACAGTGGTGCCACAGGGTGGTCTGAAAGCAGAGGTGCTGCAGAACCAGTTTTCACATGCCCACGTTAGCACTCAGCCGTGAGGAGCATCAGACAGAAAAGGATATCCTAGGACAATCCAGGCCCTCCCGTTGATATTGTAAGCAGCCATGAGATGGGTGGTCAGTCCAGTGGGATTGTAGGCCAGCTCTTTTCCTGTAAACTAAGTCACATTGAGACAGACCATTTGAGTTAGGAGGCCTGGGGATGGGCTGTTTGTGAAGTATTAAGGCAACAATAGGCAGCAATTTAAACTTTTAATAAATCGCTTAAAGCAGAGAAGGCAGCTGTCCAAGCAGTCTTAAAACTTTCAGTGGACTGCGCCAAAGATTTCTTGTTCTCAAGTATCTACTTGAGCTGTGATCAAGCGAGGCAGTTAAACTTGTGATACCCTAAAGGAAGCAAATAGTCCAGAGGCAGCTAGCAAAAATACTCATGTGCTTCATGTCACCCACATATTTATGTTTGTGTTGGACTGAGTTTTTTGATAACATCGCCTTTCACACTGTGAGAGTCCTCCACATGAGAAGCTACGTGGTCAGCTTATCAGTGGAGTGACTCAGCTTGCTGGCCAGCAGGAAAGACATAATATGACAGGTCTGTGTAATCAGTGACAGCCAAGGGGAAGCCTTGGCTTGTGACAGTTGATCTGGGTCCCAGCAGAAAATGAAGGAACTGAGATCATGGGCTCCACAGGCTGCAAAGGTTGGCTGGAGAACAAGGTACACGCACAGTATTCTTTGTCATAGAAACAGACATACAGTTCTAGCAGTTATTAGTACATTGATTATGCTTCCAAGATTGTCTCTACAAGAAAAAAGAGAATACCTCTGACAGGAGATTACGTTTTGTTCCCTGCATGAAAGCTTACCAGTTGTTTGGAATCACTGGTGTCCGACAGTCGCAGCCCTCCCACGTGCTAGAGGGTAGCAAAGGTGACTGCTGTTACATCTTGTGGCAGAAATGATCTAGAGTTCTCATTTCTCAGCCTTCCTAGTTGCAGAACTTGAAGGAATAAGAATAATGATATGCATTATATGTAGGGTACTTTTTCCAGCATTGTAGACGGTACCTTTCCTGTTGTGCATTAGAGAAAAAGA